TATGGATCAATTGGGTTGTTACCGACATCTGGTGAAAATTTCATGTCATTCGCACCTCTAGTAATATATTTACTGAGAAAAATGGTGACGTGTTCAGAACTGGGTGTTTAAGACCAGAGCCTGACACCYGAAAGATCTGCTTCCCATTATTTTAGAAACTTTAGGAACCACAAGCAAACCTGCAGTCTAAGCGCAAAGTGTTTGTAAAACCAGAAACAATAATATCTTTATTATGAGATGGAGCTAAAGGCATAAAGACAGCATGAAGAGCGTACTTGTCTTCACTTGTCTCACCGTATGATTTTAACATGTTACATGACATGCTTGAGTACCATTTACAGTTTAAGCCAAGTGAAAAACAAGCAACAAATCCACTAAAATGAAGCCTTAAAGAGAATCTTATTTCAGTTTGACTTCATTCATTTTTGCCCTTTTTGTGTTGCATTGGTTCTTTGGTCTGCCGATCCACAAGTGATGCAGCACTTCTAACTGGGTCAGCCTATCCCTTCCTCACATCCCTCCCACCTACTGTATCTCCATGTCACCCCTCCTCCTCTTCTTCCCTCCTCCTGATTTTTTCTCTCTGTATATTCATACGGCTGTGATTTTAAAAAGACATGTAGTTCATGTGTTAACCATGTGCTGCATCCCTTTCACTTTCTTCCTCTCTTTTTCTGCCTGATCATCTCTTATGCATACCGTCACCTCAGCCTGTTGATAAATAACTCCCAGTCCTACACACACATAGAAAGGGTGTATCAATTGGCCTTTTCCCCCATAAATTCACATCAGATTATTGTATTGTATTGTAATATGGGTTTGTATGTGGATGAAGGGTGCATGGCGTTCTGAAGGCAGCTCGAATGTACTTTTGAGCTGCCGTTGTGATTGGCTGATACAGTCAGACAATGTGATGGGGTGGAGGATATATAGGTCTGAGTGGTGTCCAATCAAAGACTGTTACCATGCAGCCGCCCATACGCTTCATAATACTTTGTACATTGTTTTAACAGAAACCCTCGTGCATAACATCTCTGACTTGATTTATATTCCATGAAACAGCATCCCCGTTATGTCTCATATTGTAGATAATTTTTTCTTTTAAAAAGGAAGAAAAGGGGTAACGATGATGGATGGATTGAGGATGGATAGATGTTTTATTTAACATATTCCACACAAGAAACTAACGTGGCACTATGGGGAGAGAAAAGCAGAAATGAGAAATTTCTTGAGTAAAGATTTTATGACAGGGCTTAATTAAGTGCTTTGGAAAATATGGAACAAAGATCTTTAAGATGGAGTTTGATWCTTGAGAGYTTTKTGTGTTAAAAGTAAAATTTTAAATCCTAGTCTAAATTGTAAATAGAGTGAAGCTAAAAWGGGAGAAATATCAGGRATTAGGAAGCAGAATTTTGGATCAATTGAAGAAGTTGAGAGGCTTTTTAGACAACCAGTTAATAAAGAATCAAAACAGTTTCGCCTAGAAGTGAAAAATGCAAGATTTTTTTTATTTATGTTTAAGAAAACAACATAAGACATTTGATGCAATAAACACACACACACACACACACACACACACACACA